ATATTGGCAGAGGCTCTACTGTGATCCGCGCAATATACACCAACCGCATCGTGTTCAATCCAACCTGCCCCCATTGCCTCTCTCCACCACACCCCATCCTCCTCCAGGTCCTCCTACCCACTTACCAGTCAATCACTACGCTCTGACAAAGCGAGTGTGCTACGTAGCTATTGTAGGTCCCTCTAAAAACGTTTGTCCAACACCGAGTATTTGTTTGCAAATACAAACGTTTTGTGTGTGAGTATTTAACATTTTTGCCACAGCCAGGTCAGAGGAGGCACGAGAGATGTAAACGTAATCCAGCCACTGAACGGCCCATTTCCTTCCCGTGAAATTACTTGAATTATTGTCCAGCCACATCGCGTCTGTCCCAGCCCCGGAAGCAGAGAGGAGGGGGGGGGGGGGAGGCCGCGGGGCGGGGTGGTGTGGCCTGCGGGGTCTCTGGGTCGGGTCATGACCCCGAGGGCAGCGGGGGTGGAGCAGGTGGGTGCGGGGGGAGGGGAGTGGGTAATGGAGGGCGTGGTCCCACAGTCACGGGACTGACTGACTCACCGCTCCATCTGTGGCGAGGCGCGTCCTGCAACACACAAGCAGACAGTCAGAACAACAGGTAGAGCGAGCACTGATGAATCATAGTCATCACGGTATTCGCCAGCAAGAGTACAACTGAAACACACTTACGAAGCATATTCCCTTCGTATCTTGTATAAAAGGACTGAAAGCATCTTAGCAGCTTATACATTGATTAAATGCGCTCGTTTTGAAACATGGCGATATTGTATGGAATTTTCAAGATTTCTCTGATACGAAAGATATAATGAAGTCTTGTTTCAAAAAGTAAATTTGGTCTCGAGTCAGCAATTGCTTGATTGCTTGAAACAATCACAAACTGCCCTTTACACAACAAACTGAAACAGTTTTCCTGGATGTTGTGTTCGCGTAGCTCTCCCAGTCACATCGCGAACAGACTTTCATGTCGAGCAGTCTCTGTCAATTACACAGAATCAAATCACCATCAAGAACATCAAATGCAACACAACGAAAAGCTTTGCCGAACGGGCAGCTGTGACCTCACAGATGTCAAACTCGCCCAAAAGGTCACACGGGGACGCCCCCCACGTCCCTCCCATTGTCAGAGGAAACTGTTTCACTCGAACCACAACCACAACCACCACAACCACCACCACAGTGATCACGGCGTCTCGTTAGACGCGCCCCTGCCTCCTCTCCACGACCTGCCCAAGGACCATCCGCCGCAGGCTGCGCGTCACGCGTCACCGCGCGTC